TAGCAAATAATTGATTTTATGACTGAATGACTAATGACTCGACGAATTGACTAAATTAATTAATTGAATGGTAATGGAGTTTATGAACTACTTGGTGACTAACACACCAAATCAATGGGAGAATGAAGGGGTGATTGATTAAGAGACTGATTTTGTATGGTACATAGGAAAGAATTAATGAAAGATTTAAAGATTTATTCGATGCTGGGATAAATTGACAAATGAATGAATAATTAATTTATTCAATTCATGTTTGAACAACTGATGGAATGAAAAATGATTGACTGGTTAATTGGCCCTCTGTGCAACCAAATGAATGAATGAAGCATTGCTGAACGGATGGATACACGGAAAAAATCAATTCGTTGTTAGGGTTATTACTGAAGGATTGATTGTTTTAATAAATGACGGAATGTATAAATGGATAAAAGTCCTGATAATTGATAGATTGACTGACAGATCAAGTAAATAAATGAATGAATTGATGTTTGACTAGTTGAATTACTTTATAAGTGAGTTTATGAGTGATTGACTTAATGAATGAATGCAGAACTGATTGATTAAAGGAATTAGTAAATTAATTAAGGAATGAGTGATTGCTCTAATGAAAAAGGATTGTCAAAATGATTGGATCAGCAATGAATATAAATACTCCTCATCAGTTGAGAGCAGTTAATGCTATAAGTTGTTATCAAATTACTTCTACATCATAATACTAGTAGCAGATTGAAAATTTAACCACTAATTCAGGTTTTTATATTTATTATTCCGTATTCCAAAGGTAGGTGAAATTAGCCTCCCTGGAAATCGATGGGAGATTCTATTTATTAAACTCCTGCTTTCCCCTTTTGCAACAAAATGAGCGGTACAGCAAAATAAATTTAATAAAGGTTTCTTCTAAACTTTGCTTCTTTTCATTTCCTCAATCTATTACCTGCCATACCGACATGTCCCTCTAGCAGACATGAAATGGGCTATGCATTGCATTTTTTCAGGAGTCTTACTCCCTCTGGGAATGCTGTTGAAATCCGGAGAGGGTGGACACTTACATTTTGTCTGTATGAGAGCGTACATTTGGACGCTAAATGAAATGGAAATCGCCAACAAAGTTAGACGATTTTTGTGGCTCATATAAGCGATGTTTAAATTGTCCTGTAATCTAGTTTCAAAAGTGAAGAGGCGCCAGGGTTCATACACGTTCAGTTGACATTCCCAACAACAAATGAAGGAAATAGAGCAATTTCCAGCATAATTTCACTCTACTCTCCATTAGAAAAATGTATTCTCGACGAGGAATAACTGTAATTTTGACTTTTGGATTTAGAAAAAATCGCTTCACTATCCAGTCGGCAACAGGACGGTCACGCCATTCAAGGCAAGGCAGGACTCACGGAAGTCAGGTTAATGATGGAGAAATATTCATTCAATTCCCTAGTCATCTGCAGACATTAATTCATTTCACAATGAATAAAAAGTACACCAATTACTCTTTAGCTTTACATTTTTGATTGGATGACTTTTATGAAGTAAATGTATGGGCTTCAAGAAAGCAGAGTATTTCAAATGTGAAGCCTCGTAAGTCGGGCGTTTTCATTAATTTTTAACTCATTTGACATATTGAAGCTTCTTATTTCACCGCATCTCTTTTATCATGCTTTTCTCGATCTCGTGTTCACTCGCCGTCTTCTCGCTATTTACCATTGCCCCACGGCAACTCCACTGTCGGACTCATTCGCATCTGGGGTACAGGGCAAAATCCAAGAATGGAGGACGTTCTCTACGCGACAAGCTGGATCGGATCGGTCTGAGTCTGCCAGCAGGACGAAGGAAGGCGGCCACGGTGACGCTCCTTACCTCCTTGGTTGAAGGTGAGTATCCACACTATTCCCATTCAGCTTCACTCTCCGATGCTTCTTCAATGGCAGCCTCATTCAATCATCTCGACAGGCAGCTCTGCTCTGACAACCACG